CCCTTCTGGCTGTATTCCAGCTTTCACGATCAGTTCTCGGCCAAGAACTTATATTCGTGCAACCGGACACTCCTGTGTCGTCACTCTCAAAAATGCAACCAGGGAAGTGAGTCTCAAGGAGAAGTTTGAGACTTCCTCCAACCCCAGTGGTATATTGCCCTCCTGGTACCTTAAGAGATCCCAAGAGTCCAATAGGTTTGGAAGCTAGAACCCGCTGAAGGCGGGCTGCAGCACTGAGACTGTTTACCTCCTGTGTAAACTGTCTCCATGAATTTTGTTTAGCTTTTTTTATTGCAAGGCTGTATTCTGTAAGTGCCCTTCTGTAAGGCTCCCACATTCGGCTCCGTTTGCATTGGTTGAATAGTTTCCTGACACCCACCCTCATGCGAGTCAAATCCGCAGTCCACCATCTAGTGCTGGTACTGCGTTTTCTTTGTCCCAGAGGGCAGTTGTCATGGAAGCAAGTGATCATTGCGTCCTGCAAGTCGGTCGCAATTTGGTCAATGTCTGCAAAGCAGCTGACCCTCCCACTCACGGATCCCAACTGGAACTGTAGGTCAGAGTTATACTGTGACCAGTCTGTTCTCCTGGGATTACGGAAGGAGGAGGTGACAGTGTCACTTAGTATGCAGAAGCAGATGTATTTGTGGTCAGATAACGAGGCCTCCTTACTTACGTGCCAGTTTTCTATGACTCTGTGAATGCGTTCTGTACTAACAGTAATGTCTATGACCTCCTGCCTTGTTCTTGTGACAAATGTCGGTTGGTTGCCCACATTACAGATATACAGATTGTTTGAAATTAGATATTGAAGGAGAGACTCACCTCTTGGATTGGTGTCCGAGCTTCCCCATCCGTTGGCGTGGTGTGCGTTGGCGTCACAACCTAGGAGTAGTTGTTGACCACCAGCGCCGGTTGCTTCCACCAAGAGCTCAAGCTCTCTCGATGGAGGTGGTTCCCTGGAGTCGTATGGCAGGTAAACCGAGCCTACTGTTGTGCTCCATTCCCTGCCACCATTTCTCCAAGTTATTGACACCGCAGTGAGATCTCTGGAGCAAAATTCGTTTAAGGTTAGAAAGTTCAGGCCCTTCCTCACGAGAATACATGTTCTGACATTCCTTAGGGAAGTGCAGTAAACTAACTCACCCTTTGATTCTCCCAGGCCTGCAACTCTTCCTTGGTGCAGCCATGGTTCTTGAATGAGTGCCAGGTCAAATCCTTCTTTGAGGAAGAATTGGCAGAAGGCGGCAGAGGCAGCCTTGTTATGCTGTAGGTTGATCTGGAGGACCCTGAGCATTGTCCTTAACCGGAGTTGTGACAAGTGAGACCTGCCAGAAACCTAGATTGGCTCTGAAGTTGGTGGACTGCACAGCCTTGAAACAGACCTCATCCAGGAAACAGACGAATCCGTACCCTTTCGGATCTGGTTTGGCCGGCAGTATCTTCCACTCCTTGACATTGAGAGTGGGATTTTGCATAGTAAACATTTCTATGATTTTTTCTGGAGTTTTCTTCAGCAACTTTGGATGTGCTCTGAAGAATACTCTCGTGGATTTCATGATGTCCTTTCTCAGCCCTGCTTTGAGGGTGAGTTGCTCCTCTAAAGGCTTGAGAGCCGGGAACAAACCCTCCAGCCATCGCTTGGTGGCGTCGCTGAGGCAGGCAATGATGAGGGCACCTTTTTCCATATAGATTCCAGCAAACGCTGGACTTGAACCATCCTCTAAGGGCTGGAGTCTTTCCAGGATTGCTTCCTCAATTTTTTCTCCTTGCTCGTCATTTAACTTAGCCTCAGGATAGTTATTAGGGACAATGGCAATTTTGGTAGCGGTGATGTCCCTGTAGGATGCTTCATTGGGCGTTGCAGGTTCCCCTGCGTCTTTCACCCCCTCAGACCTCTGGGTAGAACACCTGGCCTTCTTTGCAGGTCCTTCTGCCGAGGGTGGAGTGACCGTTGCGCCTCTAGGGCGCTTGGTCACCCTCGTCTCGACATTTGGACCCGCAGTTGGGCCTGGTGTCCTTACCTCCTGTGGTCTTTTGGGTTTTTTCTTTTTTCCCCTGCGCCATTTTTCAGGGTCGAATTGTTCCCCTCTTTCTAGAAGTTTTGCCTTTAAGGCCTCCCTTCTTTGTGCCGTGGAGAGGTTCGGTTTTTTCATCTTAAGACGACTAAGTCGCTCAGTGGCGTCATCAAGTGTCTCAGTGGAATTTGGTGTTTTAGGACTGCTTAAAAGCTCCTCTTCTCTTTCCAGCGTAGCTGGTGTGAGCGGGAATTCGTCCATAGTGGAAGTTCCTGGTTCCTGGTTTTGAGAGCGTTAGAGCCTCCTGTGCTCTTGGTGCACTCTTTTCAAGAGCGGGGTCTTGCTCTGAGTGAGCTGACCCCTTAGATGTGGGCGGTGCAACTTCTAGAGTTGCTCCGAGGTTTGGTTTTGGTTGAGTTTTTTTGTTTGTTTCCATGGTGTTCCCACGAGTAGCAAGGGAAGTAGGAGGTCGAGCCTAGACAGAGCCCCGCATGTCCAGGTAAGGCTGATTACTCCAGGAGGTCGCCCGGTGTCCTGGAGGCTCCGTACGCACCACCGCTGGGGAGCCCGGTGGCATTCACCTCTTCGGCACGGGTCGCATGACACCACTGAGGTTGGCTGAAACAAGAAACAAAAGCGAAAGGAAAAGGAGAAGGGAAGAAGATTCTTCAATAGGAAAGCGAAGAAGAAAGAAGGGCCAGCAAAAAGAGGAAGTTAGCTGGCCATAGAACCCAGAACGAAGAAGAGGAGAGTTCTGGGGGTTGGCTAGGGTACCTCGGGGTTGCCAGCCTACCAGAGGCCTCCCGTGTAGTTGACAGACAACTACCCCTGAGGGAGCCGTTAGGGAAATACGGCCCTGACTTTAACCATCCCATCCATCTATCTATATATTTAATATGCGACATGAAACTTTGCGAACAATAAGGCTTCTTTGTTTTAAGATATAACCCCACATATTATATACCAAAATGTTCGTCTAGGTTTGTAGATGTGCAAACTGGCTTTAGATTTTCGAAATATATATTTTTAAGGGCGTGGGCTGCCCTCAAAATTCCTTCCATAAGGATAACATTGTGATTGATTTGAATGTTATTATATTCTGAAACACATTAGTTAAAAAAACAAATAAATCCCAGCTGTTTTGTTTGGTTTCAAAATGTAAATAGTTTGCATGTTTTTAAAAATAATTAAATCCGACAAAGAAATGTTACCTATAAGACACGACGGGGTGTTGCCAAGGACCCGACGACAAAGAAATATTGCCGGTCGGACACAGCGAGTCAATATACGGCAATCAATGCAAAACGTAAGGAGTCCAGACGAGGAGCTGGAACAGTTAGTGGCAACAAGTACTTATACAATTACACTGACAAATACAAGAATTCAGCAGCATTCACTTGGCAAGATGGCATTAAAATGTCAGAAATGTGGTGCGCTACATTTTAAAGAAGAATAAAGAGGACGAGGCAAGGATTTTCATCTTGCTGCTATAAAGGAAAAGTGAATCTACCACCATACCGAGAAAGCTATTATATCCAGAGCCTACTTTGGAGCAAATAATTTGAGCAGAAACTACAAAGCGAACATTAGATCGTACAACTCTGCGCTTGCAATGGTCAGCACTGGAGCTAAAATTGAAGAACATAACAGTGGAGGGCCTTTCATGTATAAGGGGCACAACACAATTTATCACTCAATTGGTACCTTACAACCGTTAGAAGGAGAGCATCCCACATATGCCCAAATTTATATCTACGACGTCGAAACCGCCGTTGAAGAAAGAATGCTAAACAAAGCTAATGGCTCTTGCAGCACTGAACTCATGCACATTTTGACTCAACATTTGGTTGATATTAATCCATACGCGCAAGTTTTCAGCATGGTGAGCTCCGTCCAGCAAAATACTCCTACTGAACAGCAAAAAGAACTTAGAACGCATATAGCCAACGATCAAGCTCAAGACCAACGTCGATACAACGATGCAACTTCTAACGACGTTTCTATAATATCCTAATTTATTATTCGTGCGAATACGCACGGATTCACCTAGTTCATTTTATAATGGGAAAAGCAGTTGAATATTACAAACAATTTTATACAGTAAGCAGCCAAAAAACGTATAGTATAGATGCGTTATAGTGTTAATAAGTTTTTTTATTTTTGTCAAGTTGTATACTATTCATTATTTGTGTAAATGTTCAATATTACCATAGATAAAACATACTCCCTTAGTAGATTTCTCATCCTTATGGAACAGCTGAAGACAATGTTATTGTTAGTTCTGTACGGTTTTCTGCAGATCTCGTGTTTTGTTTACAATTTGTTTCCCGTTATTACAGCCATTTAAAACCTCGTTTAACCAAATAATACGATCTAATCATAAACAATAACTTGTCCCCTAGTTATATAACCAAACAGTAAAGCACAAATCAAGAAATTAACCCTAAAATAATAGAAACAAAGTTTCGTCGACACTAGCGCCCATGTGTCACGTACATGAACTAGACACGAAAAACGTGCTTCAAAATTTACAATGGGATGAGAAGTCTACTTGTGTTGGTTAGTCTATGATATTACTCAAGAACACAAGAGGGTCTTTATGTCCCTATAGTTTAAAATTTTGATAGTTTGACACCCCTGTAGTCCACAAAGTGTCAAACTATCGAGGTTCTATTGTATGGATATCACTATTTGAAAAAAGTGTCCGTTTGTAAGTTTGATGAGAAAACTTTCAAGGTGTTTGAGACTTCACTGCTACAGCAGGATTTTGCTTGGACCATGTTTCAAGGTTAGGGGCTATAGTTACATTGGTTGTTTTATACTTTTGCGGTGCCTTAATTAAGTAGCCTGGTGAAAGCAAAAAAGTGTGTTTTACTAAAAAAAGGAATTGCATGTGGAGGGAAATTTTACCATTGACTATATATATAGTCAATGATTTTACCTTCTTTATCTTTGCTTGCTCATGCCAGGGATGTGTTGCAGTGAGTGTATGTCGCTTCTCCCTGACAGAGAGAGTCACTTGTCCTGATGACTTCTACTGCTGTGGAGTGGACCAGTGCTGCAAACTCACCTTTGAGAATCAGTCCAACTCTTCCAAGTAAGCCTAAACACTCTAACCTCTGTGTTTGTGTTTACAGTACCTCTGGAATGGTCTTTTAAATATCAGGAAACTTGATTAGTAAATGATAATTATTTGAATTAAGAATATTTGAATGGACAAAGCAGGGAACAATAAATTTTACTTCCACTCAGAATTAAAATTTGATTTGAATTTTGAGCTATAAAGAGGTGGACTGCTTAGTTTTTGTCATGTATAAATTATACAAATAAATAAGTAAATTATACAATTTTATAATACTACTAGCAGAATACCCGTCCTTCGTAAGGGGTTGGTGTATAAGTATAAAATGCAATTGCAGTTATACTCATGCTTTGTGTTTGAAATGGAAGAGGACGGTTTGAGAAAATTTTGTTCTTTTAATTTACGGAAGCTATAGTGTAACACATATACCATAGCCATAATGTTCCACCACTACACCTGAACAATAAAAAAGTAAATTATCGAATATTCGCACAATATCAAAACATTATTTATAAATTAAATACATAAACTTAAGTGTAAACAATTTTACTTTAACAGTTCTCATTGTGCATCACAGCTTTTTGTTGCGGCTTTTGGTTCAAATTAGCTATGTTGTCATAAATGAAAAAAAAAACTAATAGTGCTGCACCCTGTTGGTGAGCCTTATATATTTTAATGATATTGAATATCATAGAACAACTTGTGTAATTGAAACAGCTGACAAAATTCTTTAATGCATTTAAATATGAATACTCATAAGGTTAACATGGGAAACTCCAGAGCCACTGGGGAGGAGCCCGAAAGGATTTTTGAGATAAGAATATGTCTATATGTTAATCGGGAATGTGAGCTATCATCATACCAAATTTCAGCTCATTCCGACCAGTAGTTAAAGCGTGATTGAGCTTCAAACAAACAAACACACAAACTTTCACATTTATAATATTAGTAAGATTATGTATTTTATTGTAAAACTTAATGTTTTATTGTAGTTGGTCCTATTATTAACTTTTTAAATCATTGTCAGATTTATTAATTACTAGCAGAGTACCCGTCCTTTGTAAGAGGTTGGCGACGTTGGCGTATATATAAGTATAATATGCTCTTTTGCAGTTACTTATGCTTTGCGTTTGCAATGGGAGAGGACACGGTTTAAGAAAATTTTGTTCTCTTAATTTATGGTATGCTATTGTATAGCAAATCTACCATAGCTATAATGTTCTACCACTGCCCCTAAACAAGAACAAAAGTGAAATTCTCATTTTTCACAGCTTTTTAGCAAATTTCCCATATAGGGAATAAGCTATTACCGGTGCCGTAATACTCATGGTAAGACCTGGACACGGGACCGATTTTTTTTTCCTTTTGAGGTCCCTAGAGGCCAAAAACACCATCTGTTCAAATTCATATATATAAATAAATATATACATATATAATACATATATATATATAATATAAATAATCAAAAACATTATAAAAACATTAGTACCCTTTTAAAATGAATGAATTTAAAAGGGTACTAATGTTTTTATAATGTATTCGATTATTTATATAGTAGCAGCCTTATTCACAATCATACTTATCATATATATATATGTGTCTGTCCGTTAGCACGACAACTCGAGTATGATCGTACCAGTATGATCAGACTATGGGAACAGGGGTTTATGGGGGGTTTCATGGGGTAAAAAAAGGTTATTCCCATTTTTTACCCTAAGGGCAAAAAAATTCAAAATTTTTTTCCAAACCATCTTGTAAAAAAAACAAACAATTTAGTATATTGAAGCGTTATTATGCGCCTAATGCTTACGGAGAAAATTCCAAAAAATTGTAAATTTAAAATTACTACCGTATGTTATTCTTAAGGAGAATAAGTCAACTGTTGTAGTTTGCGGGTTTTTGAACATACTAGTGTCACTGTTGCTTGGATTCGAGCAATTGCTAAGTATTACAGGCATTATTTTAAAACGAATAACATAGTCATAATTTCTGATGACTTTAAAAGATTCGACTCAAAGATTATTATTATATCAAAGTATTATAAATACTCAAGATGTACATAACAGATCGATATAATCAACGTTTCTTGTAAATATCTTATCATTTTTCAAAAGCTGATCATGTTTTTTAATGTTTTCTACATTTGTAGAAGCCTTACTCATAGCCGCATTAGGTTGTCCATAACAACAATTATAAATAAAAAAACCATTATTTTTCTATTTCTTCCTCTTGGTGGTGTTCTATGACTTTCCTATGTTTCCATAGTTTGCAAATCAGCTCTTTCTATGATTACAAAGAAATGCAGCACAGTGTTAATTCAGTTTTCCTTTTAGTATATCAATTTATCCAGGCTCTCTCGCTTTTTTCCATTGTAATATTTACGCCAACCCATATTCACATCTATATAATTAATACGCTACATGAAACTTTGTCGGTTGAACTCCTCCGCCATTTCTTAACCGATTTTATCCATTGACGTCTCATTGGAAAGAGCGTGTTGCGTAGATTTGCAAACTGGCCTTACATTTTTTTTATGTACCTTGGGCTCTGCCCCAGTGGCTTTTAAAGTTCCCATGTTATCCTTATGGAGAACATAATTGTTTACATTTTGATCAGCTGTATAATTTGATTGCTGTTATTTATTGTTCAATTCAATGAAACGCATTGATAGTGGAAGAATATTAGGAAAATCGACCTAACAAATTCGGACTACCTAGAAATTTTGCACAGTTGTTAAGTAAGCCAAGTTCTTGAAAATGTCAAAAGTCCCCATAAATCCCGGCTGTGCTTCAGCCGCCATCTTGGAAAATGGCGGCCAATTTTCACTTTTTTGACAATATTTCACAAACTATTGGTATAAGAGAATTTTTGTAAATATAAAAATTAAAGAACACTTAAAAATACATATTTTTTATATTACAAGGTTTGCTCTATCTCTAACGGCTATTGAGATAAATAATAAAAATAGTTTTAAATTTAAAATTACCATGTTATTCTTATGAAAGAAAAGAAAATTGTTGCAGTTTGCTTATTTATAGACATATTTTGAACACACTTGGCAAACTTATTTATTTTATACTAAACTAAGCTAATGATATTTAACATAAATACACACTTTATAACTCTCCCCATAGCAGTAAACCTAGTAGTAAATATTTCATTTAACCAAGTATATGTTTTTGTAGCAAACTGTTAAATTTGCATACTTATTGACTGTTTACAATTAACATATGTTATTCTTCTCACTTTTAATTTCTGACAACAGCTGGAGTTTCATAACAATGTTTGTTTTCCATCTTAATCTTATGGAGAAATGTGAAACTTTAAAGGGCCCCATGGCCTCACTCTCTAATTATTTCCCTAAAAAGAAAGTTTCCTGCACAACTTCACGTTACGCTCTTTCCAATGACACCAAAAACATGTCAATCGGTTCAGTAGTTTCAGATGAGTAATTGTCACAAAAAACCTGCTTGCATATTAAATAACTACTAGTGTCCCTGTTGCTCGAATTCGGGCAATTTCTAAGTATTACAGGTGTTATTTTAAAACGAATAACAGTCATAATTTCTGATTACTTTAAAAGATTTGACTCAAAAATTATAAAAAAAGATGTACATAACAGATTATATCAATTTATCCAGGCTCTCTCGCTTTTTTCCATTGTAATGTTTACGCCAACCCAAATTCAAATAGTAAATATTTCGTTGTAACCAAGTCAGTAAATGTTTGTAGCAAACTTTTAAATTAGCAAACTTATTGACTGTTTACAATTATGTTCTTTTTCTCACTTTTAATTTCCGACAACAGCTGGAGTTTCATAACAATTTTTGTTTCCCATGTTAATCTTATGGAGAAATGCGATACTTTAAAGGGACCCAAGGCCTCACTCTCAGGGAGGAGTAATTGTCACAAAAATCCTGCTTGCGTATTTAATAAGTATAGATATAGATTTTAATCAAATTTGGAAAATACATTTATTTCTTACTAAACTACAGTATTAACATTTTATACAAAAAACATTTTTTTACCCTCCCTGTTGCAGCAAACCGAAGTACTCATTAAACTAATTCTATTTAAATAGGGAATATGTGATAATTTTAAGGAGACATTTTAGTCTAAATCCAATTGTGTAAATGGAAATTCGCTAAGTCTGCAGGTTTGCTGCGACGGGGATATTTTATTTTCATTTGAATTGTTTTTGACAAGTGTTCCAAGCGTTATTCTTATCAAAATTTGCAAATGGTTGAATACTTACTAACGTATTACTCTGTTGTACTTATGAAGGTTGGAGTTAAAGTTTCTCTGTAATCTTCGTTGCAAGTGTAGCTGCAAGTGTGATTTGGCTCTCAGTGAATACTTTCAGTATTGCTGTAAATTATTCTGCATCTATAACCCTCCAAGTGTCCATAGTTTAGGCCTTAATGTCCACCTATTTTTGGCGCATTTGCAAGGTTTTATTAAAACAGATCTGAGAAGCTTAAAACAATGTTAATTCTAATGTTCTATATACCATTTTGTTTGGAAAATCATGGGCTTCAATATCCATACATAAAACATAAGGAATATTTGTTTCAAAAAATGTATTAAGGTAAAAAAAAAATTATTTTGGAAAAATTGAAAAAAAAATAAGTTTGCGCTCAATGAAATTGTATAAATTATAGGCCTATAAATATTTGAAAATAGCCACTTTGTTCTAAATATTATGAGGATTACAAATATATAATAATATAAGGAAGTAGATTTGCAAATAAATAAGTTATGGGCAAAAAACTGATTTCAGTACATAGCGTTTAGCTAAGAATGCATAGCCTAACCATAGCTAGGAATCTGGCTGATAATTTACATCAATATCACTACCTACTTCTTCAGGATCATCAACCAGCACTTCAAAACCACTTAAATCTTCTTATAATGCACCACGTATATCACTACTTTTGATTTTTAACACTAAAACAATGATAAACGTAATAAAACACATCAGTCATCGGTCCGGGGGAACCTAGCTGTTTACAAATACACGCACGTCAGCTGTCTGCTACAATATTTTCGGAACTAAAATGAATAGCGCTTAGAGACAGGCCTCTGGAGAAAGCTTAGAATATTACGGAAAGAACGATACCTAACTCGATCCAGTTCAATCCGATTCAGTCAGTCATAGAGCCTTCGCCGTAAACGATGTTTGTGCGTCTTAAACTCGACGCGTGACCCTACACAAAGTGTGTTGTGCGTCTATTTTTTGACGCGTGACCCTCGGAGGGTTAAAGTACAAAATCAAAATTTAGAAAAGGTTCTGGATCCAAATGTTGAGTAGAAATTCTTAAAAACTTTACCTCGTTGCCAATTATTGTGTCTTTGAATTAGAGTTAATAATTGCACGCATTTGAAAAAAACTCCTTTATTTTAATGGAATATTTATAAACTGTAAATTGTAAAGGTAAACTTAAACTACATTGTTTCATAATTAATTATAACAACAGCTGATCATAGAAAGTATAAAGGATACTAAAGTGAGCTATAATCAAATTCTATTTTCTCCATAAGATTTTGTAACTACTGTATGATAGTTGATGTGACATAAAAGATGATATAGCTTACAACAAGTTCCTTTCTTCAGCTCGGCTCGACTAAACAGTTGGTGGTAATCGACGGAAATCAAAGACATCTGCGGCACACTCTATCATTAACAATTGTTTCATGGTCATGTTGTAGAGTTTCTTTTGATGACTGGCTGACAGAGTTTTGTGTGCGAGCTGTCATTGTGACAAGTTTTATTGTCATGTTTTATCTTGTTTGTTGTAGAGGTTCCATTGATGACTGGCTGACAGGGTTTTGTGTGCAAGCTGTTATTGTGACCGGTTTTATTGTCATGTTTGACCTTGTTTGTTGTAGAGATCCCTTTGATGACTGGCTGACAGGGTTTTGTGTGCGAGCTGTCATTGTGACAGGTTTTATTGTCATGTTTGACCTTGTTTGTTGTAGGTATTCCTTTGATGTCTGGCTGACAGGGTTTTGTGTGCGAGCTATCATTGTGACAAGTTTTATTGTCATTTTTTATCTTGTTTGTTGTAGAGATTCCTTTGATGACTGGCTGACAGGGTTTTGTGTGCGAGCTATCATTGTGACAGGTTTTATTGTCATTTTTTATCTTGTTTGTTGTAGAGATTCCTTTGATGACTGGCTGACAGGGTGTTGTGTGCGAGCTGTCATTGTGACAGGTTTAATTGTCATTTTTTATCTTGTTTGTTGTAGAGATTCCTTTGATGACTGGCTGACAGAGTTTTGTGTGCCAGCTGTCATTGTGACAAGTTTTATTGTCATGTTTGACCTTGTTTGTTGTAGAGATTCCTTTGATGACTGGCTGACAGGGTTTTGTGTGCGAGCTGTCATTGTGACAGGTTTTATTGTAATTTTTTTATCTTGTTTGTTATAGAGATTCCTTTGATGACTGGCTGATAGGGTTTTGTGTGCGAGCTGTCATTGTGACAGGTTTTATTGTCATGTTTAACCTTGTTTGTTATAGAGATTCCTTTGATGACTGGCTGACAGGGTTTTGTGTGCGAGCTGTCATTGTGAGAGGTTTTATTGTCATTTTTATCTTGTTTGTTGTAGAGATTCCTTTGATGACTGGCTGACAGAGTTTTGTGTGCCAGCTGTCATTGTGACAAGTTTTATTGTCATGTTTTATCCTGTTTGTTGTAGAGATTCCTTTGATGACTGGCTGACAGGGTTTTGTGTGCGAGCTGTCATTTTGACAAGTTTTATCGTCATGTTTGACCTTGTTTGTTGTAGAGATTCCTTTGATGACTGGCTGACAGGGTTTTGTGTGCGAGCTGTCATTGTGACAGGTTTTATGGTTATGCTGTACATCACAGGGGTCTCTATCAAGATAGTCAGGAACCACTACTTTGGTAAGTTTTATCTCTGCTGCTTTTGTAGTTTTTTTATAGTTTAAAACTTAAGTTAAATATAATTTACATTTTATGCAGTAAGAAATTCTTTACATGATCGAAGAATAGGAATGTAGGTTTAATTTATTCATGTTTTGTGTAGTCTTTGACACCCTATGTACTGTCTCTCTGTTTGGTGTTAGCGTTTGTACTTCCTGTAAATAATTTCCCTATTATTTAAACATGGGTGCCTAATTTGTAGTAGGAAAGTGTGGATTCTTTGCTAATCAGTAATACCAACCAGCTGGGTTTTTGTAATACCTTCTCACCTGAGGACAGGACAGGATCAAGTTCCAGATCCCGAAACCTTGTGTCAACTTTGTTTTTGCCTAATCATGATAGATATATTTGTGATAATGTCTCAGATATCCTGTTTTGAAGGGATTTTTTTTTCTGGTAGTTAATTATCCTGCGCTTCTAAGTTTTTGACGTTTGCTTGGAAAATAGGGCTACTCAATCAAGGTTTACATTTTTTTCCTTTTTTCTGTTACATAAAAAAAAACATCTTAGGAGCATTCGAGCATTCTATATTTAATATGTTGAATGAATTCTTGGAGCTTACATCCAACCTTTTAATATATTTACTGAATAGACATAAAAAAGGTTAAAAACTATTTGCAGTAGGCCTATAGAAACTGAAGAAAAATAAATCCTACTTTTAACAATATGATATTACTGTATGTAAATTATTTAATTCCAGGTAAATGCTGTCCTGAAATAAGCAATCTTCCTAGGTACAAACCTTTGGAGAAAAATTCAATTGGTAAGCAGCATTATAGTAAAACATGACAACAGAGAATATGTGTTTGGTAATGTTATTGCTAATGTAGGATCTACAGTAATAATAATAAACAGTATCAGCAATCTGACACATACTTTCTCCCATTAGCTTGTCAACAACCTTTATCATGCATGGTTAACAATTTTTGAATCTTCTCTGCAACCAATCACCGTACAAAAACACATTGATATACTAAATTATTTGTTTTTTAAGTTCTTTAAAAATGTCTGGAGAAAAATTGATAAATTTTGTGTTTTAAGGGTAAAAAAAAGAAAAACCCATTTTTACCCCATAAAACCCCCCGTTAAACCCCGTTCCAATGGTCCGATCATGCTGGTTCGCGAACTTATTCAAGTTAATCCCGCCTTACACCCTCAAACCAAATTTCATCAAAATCGGACAAAAATTACTCAAGTTATTGTCTGGATGGACAAATACATATATCTATATATAGATATACAAATTTGAACAAATGGAGTTTTAGGCCTCTGGGGATATCAAAATGAAAAAGTAAATCAGTCCCGGGCCTAGGTCTTACCGTGAGACCTACGGTAATATAGCTTCTTCCCTATAGGGAAATTCGCTAAAACATAACTATAAAACCTTGCAGACGGAAAATTGGGTTCAAAAATCAAAAAGGTTGATGATGAGCTCAGACACCAAAGAGAACTAAAATGTAAAGTTTAGACCAAAGATGAGCTGTCCATTAAGGATCAGAAGTCAAGGTGTATGTTTTATCTATATGATGCTTTCTAAGCAAACGAATGACGAACGAACGTATCACATCTTTCTTCTTTTGTTAGCAGTCAAAGGGATTTGAATCAAGAATACAAATCAAGATAAGCTCTATGTGTAGCCTACTTTGAGACTTGAAAGAAACGTGTAGGTTGATGAATCTAGACAAATTATAAAGTGATAAATAAGACATATTTCAATTTTAACTTCATAAAAATTGTTTATAAAGTTTTAAAAGAACAAGCAGTACTGTAGTTGATAAAATACTTTATTAACTTCTATGTTTCCTTTTCTATCTAGTTTTAGTCAGGTGTAGGTTTAACCTCAAAATTGCTCCCATCCAAAATTTATTTAAGTATTATTAACCTAGGCTAACACTTACATTATTGTAGCCTACTTATGTAAAATTACAGTTATTATAAATTCTAAATCACATTATTCTTTCTGTAATTGACTTAGTATCATTATGTTCACACAGCTTCGCCCTGCACCCTAATAAAACCAACCCTCTGAGATGTAAGATAAATTAATTCTGCTAGCTGACTTAATTAAAAAAAAAATTAAATTAAAGGAAATGAAAGGCGACAATCTCTGTACTTTTAATTTTTGTAGTGTTTAAAAAACTTCCTGTGCAGTTGGAATTTTGCAAGTTCAAACAGTTGTTAAAATAATACAATAAAATATTAAATAGATACAAAAACCTCGTTGGTTTTTTGTAATAATAATTTTCCTATTATTTATCACAAAACGTTGAACACAGCACAGTAGTGTGCACCACATCAACATCACTGTATGCCATTAGTTGAATTAATCTCTGGATTAAGACTGTATCAATAACAATTAATTGAGCTTGTTTTTCTTATATTGTTCCTGTTCTTTCCAGCATCAAACCTTGACAACATTTCAACCCTTATTGGAACACCATTCTACCAGGTTAATACTGATCAAGTTGGAGTGTTGAGAGGTATTGTTTCTAATCGCTGATAATTTGTCTTAACTAAACAAAATTGAATAGATTTATGAATTTGTGAAGAGTGAGTTATATTCTAAGTTCCAACCATATCCTTTGTGCAAAGGGGTACATTGATTTCATATCTGGGGTTTAATTAAAGTAAAATGTTCTCTTAAGGTTTAAAAGTTTTGATATATATATATATATATATATATATATATATATATACACACACACACACATGGTGTCCAAAAAGTCCCGGGTCATTTAAATATTTTTTGAAATATTTAAAATTGAGCTAAAAAACTTTGCACAGCGTTACTGGACATAAAAATCTATTTTTTTATCACATATTCAGTGATCCGCTACTTCGTCAGGAGGAAGGCCCACTAGGAGTCAGAAGAAAATCTTAAATGTAAGCATGGGTTGTTATGCATATAAAATAAAAGGTCTTTATTAGTAGAATACAATGTTTATTTAGCGTGGGGTGAAAATAGAAAAGTTACATACAAATGTACATACTTTTAATTGAGTTTTCAACCACGAGCAAGCTCTAGTATTTACTATTTGAATTTGGGTTTGCTTACATATTACAACGAAAAAAATCAAGAATGCCTAGACAATTTGATATATTTTACAAAATAAAGATTTAAAAAAAATTTGTTAACCATAGAAACATAGGAAAGTCATAGAACGCTACCAATTAGGAGAAAATTATAGAGAAAATTTTTCTTTTTCTTTTAACTATCCTATCGTTATTATCCTACAATGAAAAACACCTACAATATGAAGATTCCTACAAACAATGATAGAGGATGTTAGCTGAAGTACTACCATTATTTTTAATACGAAACATGGACTTAGATTTGAGATCATTGCAGAGGAAAACCCTCTATGGCTAAATAAAACTGGTTCGGCAAGGACATTAACTATATGTTTCAATAAGTCAACTGATTTTAGAAGAATTGACTACATCCAAGAAACCTTTAGTAAATCTGTCATTGAAGTGACTCAATTATTATTCACAGTCAAGCAGTAGCGGCTAGCCCATAAGGACTCTCGGACGCCGCCCTCCCAACAATACAGAAATCAATATTTTTTGTATTTATGTAATAAAAAAATAATCTATCGTAAGTTAAATTAAATTACAATTACTTACGAGTACTTTAATCAATATGATAATAATATGAAATGAAATAGTTTTAAATTTTGAATCCAGTAATGGCTGTTTTGCAATAGTCGCTTTCGTAATGTGCATTGCGGACGGCGGCCACCTCCGTCCCAAACTCAATGCATGTAGTCTTATGGTAGAAACACCTAACAGTGCTGAGGGTGCCATGATGTCATTCCAATGCTTTACAATAGGGACTCTGGGGCAGAGTCCAAAGCTGCGCGCGCATTCATATATCAGGGCAGCCACCCTAAACTGGATAATTCTGCATCACACACGATTAGCATAGGAAGAACCATGTTGGCAGCGCTGGAGCCATCATCCACACTGTCACTACCATAAACATAAACTAACCTCACTTCTTTCCATGTCCATGACCACAGTTCAGTTAAAGTTTAGTGCCAAACGACCTGTTGTTTTGTGATAAATAGTGTTTAGTGATGATAGTGATGGAGGCCTAAGGAAGGCAGCGGTAGTTTGTTGAAGATTGAAAGAGCTAAGTAGAAATTATTAATAGTTATACTTAATTGATTGAGTTAGTTAGTTGGCATTTTTGAGTCAATAAGTTACGTCTGTAGTTTTAGTATAGGCTAACCTAATTAACCCGAAAACTAAGTAAACTAACCATAGGTAAAGTGACTCGGACAATTTTAGTTATAGTTACTTATTCTTAGTCTTAATATCACGGGTAAATTTGCCGTGGGTTGTAGGCCTAAATAATAATGGACGGCGGCATTTCGTTGTCGTCGACGGCTAACGTCACTAACGAAGTTAGCCTGATTATCAATGAAGGGATCAAAAATATTGACCACAGAATTTCTTTGAAAAATTAGTCTTACCCTCATGGTTTGGTTTTCTATTCGTTATTGCCGTGGATGTTTATTTAAACATTCAATTATTGTCAGGCCTTACCGTTTGGTTATCTACTCCTTATTGCCGTGGATTTTTTACTATTATATTATTAATTGTTAGTTATATTTTCAATAGAGTGTAGACCCGTTTTATAAGGCCGTAGGCAGGGGAGGGGGTTTGAGGGTCAATCCCCTCCCCCAAAATTCTGAAATTGAGCAGTAAAAATTAAAACTAGGTTTCAAAAGTGCAAGTTAAATTATAAAATAGAAACCACAATAGAGGATTAATTGTTATGTGTTGAGTTTAGTTATGAATTAATCTATTCATATTTAATATAGGCCTAGTTCTATTAGGATAATAAATCTGATCTAAGCCTATTAAATAAATTGGTATAAACTATTTAAAAAATATACTACTCTACTCTACTTATGTCTACTTGCTCATGACAAACAACAGGTGAAATGGGAGTTTTAGGACTATTATTGGACACAGTTTTAGGCGTGAAAAATTGCTTTAGAAAGTCACCAAACGGCTTTAAAAATGTAAAATGTTTAAATTGTAAAACCATCTGAACATGGCTTTTTAACTCTGCATTTTCTCAGGTAAATAAAATGTACGTATTTGCAGTAACTAAACAAAAGAATGCCAATTGAAGAAAATTAATAAAATTGTGACGACATGATATGTGGAAAATCAGGTAGCTCTTAAGTAATGTGAACAAATTAATATGTTATCGCTATTACAAAAATTACTGACATTTGTAATTGTACTGGCGAACGGGTGGTACCATGCAGGTTACATTATCAAGAAATTTTGATTTGAACTGTTATGTACATCGCAATTTCCGAATTTGTAATTACAGTAATGTAATTCAATGATTGATTACCATAGAAAATGTTCAAACTTTAAATATTTAAGTATTCATATTTTCTTAATAATTAGAAGACCTGATATCATATTTAAGAATAGCACAAACCAATTGAGTGTGTCGCTAGCCACGAAACAACAACATAGTGGTTAATGTCTGAGACTTCAATGCGGGAGGGACTGATTTAATTCCCGGCACAACCACTAAAACTTAATCTTACGTTGACCTCTTGTAAAATGCAACTGGCGAAGAAAAAAATGAGAACACTGAGAACCAATTCTGCAGGTGGTAGCAGTGACGGCAACGGGCAACGTTAGTTGGGTAGGTAGTGTACTTTGTGTAGGTTAACTGCTGCTTAGTGGGCAGGTATAATGCAGTCCTGTTGTTCTTAAGACACTTCTTCTATAAAATAAGTTTCAATCTTGGTTTGATCTTGGAATACATTTTTCTGTAAGCATGCACATTGGTACCAGTTGAAAGGGTATTTTTCACAAATCAATAATGCTTGGGGAATAGGCAAAACCTTGATGCGAGAGTCCATTACAAAAACATATATTCTATAATTTAAAAAAATTACACTGGACGTGTGTTGTACTATTGCGGTATTTTGTTGTTGTTAAAACCACGTGTTAGTTAAATTCCACAAGTCTCAATAATGCAAAAACTTCACAATATAAAAGTTTGTTTTTTTAAATTTCTTGAACCTTGAAATAAACTGGGAAGCTTGAACACATTAAACTGGGTTAATTTAATTTTGTATGTTCTAAAATTCCTTAAAAATCACCCCCCAGTGACCCCCCCCCCAGAATATAGGTCTAGGACTGCCCTTGGTCATAATTGGGATTGTGTATTGTTACATACAAATTATATAGTGTTAGTTGTATAATGGAAAAGGTCCAATACCCGTTTTACTGTCAAGTGATCCTGTTGTCCATGAAGGTGTACTTAAACTGGTATTTTTAAAATTTTTTTATAATTCTCTAATATTAAAATACCAGTAGCTTTAAAAGTAATCCCGGAGCTTTGCCTAAAACTATATTTGGTGCAAATTCTTAAGTGAAATTTTCTTGTTCAAAATTTTAACCCTGTTTTTGTTTTAGGTGGTATAGCTGCAGTTCCTGTTTGAAGACTGTAAATATATATACAGCTCGTGACATCTAAGCTGGCACTTGTACTTAGTTAAAACATTATATCCCGTCATGCGGGTTGCATCAACTGTCCTTGCGACCCATACAAAGGTGCTCAAGTAATACAAGGGGAGTCCGGGAAGTCAACCCCGTGAGGCACTGGAAATGTTTGCAGTACGGTCTTTTCCCTACCTCCACCCTCCTCCCGCCTACACTGCCCCTGCTAGGACCATCTGGGCATCTGGGCTGCTAGTGCCAGCTTAGATGTCACGAGCTGTACATATAATTTAATTTCAAATTGTATTGAATACATATGAAGATTGATAAATAATTGTATCTTAGTGATATTAAATTATTAAGTTTTCAATGTACATTTGTGTCAACATTTTAAAACCCATGTGGTGGTGGGAGGGGGGGGGGGCAAGCAAATTGGTTTTAAAATCATAAATTGAATACAATTCATGTATATTATTCTTATATACTAAAAAAAACTTGTAAATCTTAGGCTGGTGACACACTATCCGGTTTAGCAGGATGCGTTTTAGCGGGATGCGTTTTTACCGCATTGACGTTGCCCTGTCACACTTGTCCCGTTCTACCGCAACGCAACATATTTTGAGTGAAGAGCGCGAGCATCACATGCAGTGCACTGTTGATAGCGACAACATTACGATGTTGTCCAAAGTGAAATTTGTCTGTGCTCTTGAAGCAAGTGGTTTGTTGCCTAAACCTTACGTAGGCGTACACCATTTTCATTGCGAAAATGATAGAGATGGACTGTTTAAGAGTTTATCAAAGTATAAGGCAATATCCTCGCACGTTTTTGTAATTATTGCAGAATGTCCATCAAATCTTTTGATGAGCTGCTGCGCGTTTTGAGGCCACATTTAACGAAGATCAGTACACAATTCAGGAATTCAATCAGTGCTGAAGAAAGATTAACGATAACAATAAGGTTGGGACAATTAATAGTTTTATTCTTTTAAGATTTTGTTAAATTTGTATTTATTTGAGACTACCCATTTAATTTTTTCGGTTGAAGAAATGCGTTCTTAATTTTAGTTGCATAAAACGTCTCCTTCTGAACATGCTTAACATGCGCGGCAAAAGAGGACAGTGTGGCAGCACTCATTTAACTGCATGTATTTATCTTTTCATCCCGTTGTCTGGTCGTCCCGCCAAACTGCAGCACCTTGCAGTGCATCCCCAAATCCCACATGAGTTTGAATCATTCAGCCAAATGGGTCCCGTTTAACCGGACCTGCAAAACGGGATAGTGTGTCATCGGCCTTATGGCAGCTAGCCTGACCATACTACTACCCGGAATTAGACGTGGTTGGTACCAAATAAAAGATATTTTCCTGCAGATGTGCAGAATCCCTTTATAAATTAAAATAGACTAAAAAATTGTCATAAAATGGATTTGAAATTTAAAAAAAAATTAACATGTTCCATATGAGTTGCTAAGTTGGTGACAAAATAACAACAAAATATAAACAGAAATTCAAAACAAATGGACGAACAACAACAAATTTTATTCACAGCGAGGGGTGAACAGAGAAGTTTGCACAATGCATACTTTTGGTAGTCGACCACGGGGCGAGCTCTCGTTCTATAACTAAATTTCTATGCTTACTCACTCAGCCTATGTTTGTAAGCTTATAAATTTACTAAGCATTAGAAAATGTAAAAATGAATTAGTTGTAAGTAGTGATCTACTTTGAAGTTTCAGCACTCAATTTATATTTTCTGATGTTTGTATTGTATTGTGTAATAAATCTTACTGCGGTTTTTGTGTGAATATTATTAAATATTCACCAAGAATGAAACCTACGTACTTGAATAGACTGAAATGATATTTTATCACTTATTGATTGGTAAATTATCAGTCAGCCAACATTTGTGTACCTAATTAAAGCCATATAACCAGTTTTCAGTCCTTATTTAAATCACTAAGTAGGTTACCTTAAGTAGGCAATACAGTAATACAGTAAAGCTTGTTGATTAGAAAGGCCTATTACAAAGTTAATGAGTTTTTGAATGGTTTTGAAATGTGATAAGTTAGCCTTAGGTACCTACTTACCATAGCATTGACTGAACAAAAAATCTGTTTGAAAACCTTGTTGATACTAAATTGTTTTATATTGTTTATTTTAATTAAGACCATTTTAAATAGTTGTAAGCTTAGTTTTATCCTCTGTTATAATTACTGTTGAATTTATCCTCTGTTATAATTACTGTTGAATTTATCCTCTGTTATAATTACTGTTGAATTTATCCTCTGTTATAATTACTGTTGAATTTATCCTCTGTTATAATTACTGTTGAATTTATCCTCTGTTATAATTACTGTTTAATTTATCCTCTGTTATAATTACTGTTGAATTTATCCTCTGTTATAATTACTGTTGAATTTATCCTCTGTTATAATTACTGTTGAATTTATCCTCTGTTATAATACCTGTTGAATTTTCGCTCTGTTGTATTCAACTGTTGAATTTTATTAGTATTTTATAATAAACATAGTCTATTTGTAACGATTTTTTAATGTATTTGACCTAGAAGGAAAGAGACAACTTGTATAAGGACAATTTTATTCATGATTTTTTATCCTGCACAAACATCCTGTAATACTACTTGTGCCAATAAATATAATTCATTCAATGTACCTTGAAAACAATATGATTGATAATAATAATAAGAAATCAGCATTCTAATGTATCAATAGATACCAATAATGTGTTAATTAAAACCGCCTCTGTATTTAAACTTGGCTGGTTCAGCTGGTTTTTATAGAATTTCCCCAAACATAAGGAATAAGCTATTACCAAATATGTCATTGTAAGACCTATTTACTTTTTTTTAGTTTTGTACCTTGATGCCAAAAACATAATCTGTTCAAATATACTATATATATATAGTGTAAGAAAGGGGATTAACCCTGTACTCACGGTACTCATCTACGCAGACACTGTTCAGATTACACTTAGTCGACCAGTTGGTGTACAAAATTCTCAAAGCTTGCAACTTGTCAAGAACACAATTAAAACATACATGACAGAATATTATCTTCGAAACGAAACTAGTAAGCTACAGTACTGAGCAATCTTAATCATTGGACTATTGACAGAGGTACGTAAAAACCTATTATTATCTTAATAAATTAGTCCTGGGGCCAGAAACATGAATTTTGATTCAAATCTGATGTTTTAAAAGCAAATGCGACGGCCCCAACTTGTTTCTGATTTTTAACCATTTTGATCCACTCACATTTTTTTTACCTTTTGTTAACTTGTTTATAAATATATTTTTTATCATCTAAAATCTGAAATTTAGTGCAAAACGTGTAAATCTACATTTATTCTAACGAGTTGACGAACCAGTATGATCTTACCATGGAAACGGGGGTTTATCGGGAGTTTTATGGGGTAAAAATTGGGTTTTTCCATTTTTGACTCTAAAAATACAAACTTTGACAATTTCTTTCCAAACCATTATGTAGAGCTTAAAAACTAAATAATTTTGTATACTGAAGCGATTTTGTATGCTTAACGGTTACGGAGAAAATGCAGAAAATTGTGAATTTAAAATTCCCTTGTTATTTTTTTAAGTTGGCAATCAGGGACGTATTTAACTATCTGCCGCCTTTATGCAGCAAATTTAGCCGCCCCCTCCCCCCCACCTTTCGTTAGCACGCTCACTGATCACACTAAGATTACCCCAATACACGGGGTTTTTGTAGAAAAGTAATCGGCAATTGCATGCTGCATCAACAAATCTAATAACATTTTGAACCCTTTTATACAGACGTTTTTGTTTTGCCGTTTTCATGAAAACGCAATTCTGTTTTGCATACATGGAATGCAACGTTGTTGTATCCAATCAGAAGTCATAATCGCGTGCCTAAACGGCACACAAAAACGTCTGTACTGTATATACGAGGCATGTTTTTTAAGTAAGTACCGTTTTTATATTTCTCCGTTCCAGCACTGTGATTGGCATTTTCGACATTTGCACTGTGTATGGGCATCTATTGGTAAGACCTAGCCGGAAGTTCGAGAACAATCGGCCGTGTTTACATCCGGTTTCGAGCATTCAAAATGGTGCCGCCAATTGAGACTGCTGCCGACTGTGAAGAATGTAATAAGACAGGCATAAAAACTGTACGGACTAATTTTGTCACAACTGAAATCTAACTTAGTGCATTTAATCAATCATCTTAGTACGACGAGACAAAGACCGAAAACTCGTTCAGTCTCGGGGGTTCGTGCAAACTATCCTGTTGCGTTGTGCGGTTGTTTAGAATCTACTAGAAATGTTTGATGTTGATAAGTTTATCGAAAATGTTCACAGCCAGCTATCACTGTGGGACAAACAGGCATAATAATATTCTGATAGCATAGAATAGCATTCCTTAAATGCATGTTTATTTTTGTTATCTGAGGCCTCATGATCTGAAGAAGCTCATCGAATGACTGGACTGACATAGGATAGTAAAAAAAAACGTTTTCTCATGTTTCCTGATGTTTTGTAAAACGTACGAAAACGTTCACCTGCATCACGTTCACGACAAAAAGGATGAATCCAATGACTTCTGTTATTTGTTCTTAGTAAACCACTTGCTTCCATTACACACACAAGTTTTATTAATAATATAAAAGGATTACCTCATCCAACCACAGTTGCTGGTATGACGACTAGTTTCGTTCCTTAGAACTTCGTCAGGTCATTGTATGCAACCACATAATCAATGTATTAGGCCCAGCGCACACGGTGTGACTGTTTCTCAACTGTCGTTGCAAACCAGTTGCGCTTGCAACTGTTTTGAGACCTCGGCAATGTATTGCAGTGGGGAGCCGCACACGACGCAACTGGTTGTTTGCGATTTTCAAAAAAGTTTGAAACCAGTCACATGCAACGGTGGGCCCGACGTTGCAGTTGCGTTGCAGACTCCAGTTGCACGAGACCACGGGGTGTTTTGTGGTGTTTGCTTACATTTTATCATATTATTCTACACATATAAAATATTTATGTAGAAATATCTGCTCTTATCGTGTCTAATAAAATCCAAACATAGAAACCTTGCCTAAAATGCTACCCATCTTGAAAAATTATTTGCACCTACCTATATTACGGACTTTTAAGCACTGGGTTGGTAAAATTATTGAAAATAACACAACATTTTGGCTGTACAATAAGATACAAAGAGAAAATACTATTTAAGCAGCTACTGTCATGACAGAAGGGTCATATTCCTTTTAAACTAGATCACATAATCCTTTATAAGATACGTTGATTAACAATATGTAACCGTCAAAATATACTTTACAGCCAATTTACAGTATTTTTGCTTTTTGGAAATGTCCCATTGCTATGTAATTTGAATTATTT